TATCCATAGCTGGTAAACACTGCAGAAGAGCCCAACTTACATAATGCTTGCATCAAACCACAGATTCAGCCCAAATATCAGCAAAAGCCATTGGTCATCCTGACAGAAATAAGTAAATACATGCATGAATTCAGACTGACAGCTCCCAAATCCTCTTCTAGGCAGCAGAGTCCCAGTCACAAACCCACCTCAGGTCACCTCGAGCCTTTAAAGAATTAAGATCTGAATTTTCTTACTCTTACCTCATGAGCACTCCAGTATGATCCCATGGTGCTCCCAGCTGCATACAAGGCAGATCCCGATGTAACTCCCTGTGAGAGGCAAGAGCTGGTAGTGACTCACAAAGTAGCTCTGCAGACTTTAAGGAGGCACCTGCCAAGGAGCAAGGGGTTTATCCATGCTCCACCTTCCTCCTTGCATGAAAGGGAAAGTGTGAAGAGAGAAGGGGAGGGAATTTGCCGAGTTTATTTGATTATTTGGTGTTTGTTTAAAACACCAGAGGTGTGTGCTGGGGAAAGGCTGTACACACCAAGGTGTCAAGAACTATTAGCACTTGAAGATAAGGGTGTGATAACACAGAACACTTATGCATGGATCTCTATGAGCTGGCAGCCTCAGCTATGCACAGATCAAAGAAGATAACAGCTTCCACCTGTAGGCTGGAGGAAAACAGAGCTCTACAGCACTTCAATCAACAACCCAAAGTATTATGGATGAAATGACTTTAAAAGACCTCTTTCAACAGATTTTTATTGCTATTTCTCTTTCTTGTAGGTAGAGGGGGTTGAGTTGCTTGCTGGTAGATGTTTCCCCAGTTTTGTTCAAATGCTTTTCAAACAGATTTGTGTTTTCCTGTTTCCAGAATCCTTCCACAAACATAAGACTTCTGAATAATCCAAGACAAAAAGAAATTATCTTCCAAATTAGGGCATACATTGATTCCTCTTAAATGCTAACACCTACACGTTTTAAACACAATGCAGTGCCATCAAATTATGATATAAAAATGACACCAAAGTTTTGTATTTTCTGGCAGAAAAGCATACAGCAGCAGATACACAGATGAGTAGTCCTGGCACAGGCCCAGCTACCAACATGGCCAGATGTTGGATGTGAAATGACCACCTGAGAAGTGCAGGAGGTGATACTATACACTCACAGCACCCACAACTTGTCTTCCCCTTCCAGAGACACACATCAGTAAATGGCATAATAAAGTAATTTATGGCCTTACAGCTTCTCACTGAATGGAAACTACCTTAGACATCAACCATTTTAGGATTAGAAATACACCCTCAGCACCCTGATGATTAAAGATATGTGAAGTGACACTAGATTAAATTCCCCTTACATTGTGTTCAGCAAAAATAAGATCCTCTCCCAATCAGGCCAGAAGCCTTGGCTGCTTAGAACTGAGAAAACTGATCTAAAAGTGGCAATACACCCTCAGCACCCTGATGATTAAAGATATGTGAAGTGACACTAGATTAAATTCCCCTTACACTGTGTTCAGCAAATACGAGACCCCCCCAATCAGGCAAGAAGCTTCGGCTGCTTAGAACTGAGAAAACTGATCAAAAAGTGGCTAAACCTGGATGGTTCTTTTAGCTTCTGTAGCAGCTAATTGGATGCTTCATAAGCCATTTCCCTGAGAAAGTCAGACTTGGGGATGAAGGGCTGTGGAAGAAGACATTGCTCACAGGCTTCAGAAAAACAAAGAAAACAAACTAACCAACAAAAATAACAAAAGAAACAAAGCCTGAAATAAATAAGCCTCAACAAAACACAACTCTAACTAAACACTGAGTAGTTGTGGTGGTTTGACCCTGGCTGGACATAAGGTGCCCTCCAAAGCCACTCTATCACCCCCCATTCTCAGCTGGACAGGGGAGAAAAATTTTAAAGATTCATGGGTTAGGATAATGACACAGAAAGATCACTCACTAATTACCATCATGAGCAAAAGAGACTTGACTCGGGGAAATTAATTCACTACCAATCAAATTAGAGTAACGTAATTAGAAATAAAAACTAACTCTTGGGACACCTTCACCTCACCCCTCCCTTCTTCTCAGGCTTAATGCTACTCCACATTTTCTCTACCTTGTCCATGCCAGCTACAAAGGGGGATGGAGAATGGGGGTTGCAACTAGTTCCTTCCAAGTTCTCTCTGCTGCTCCTTCCTCCTCAGGGGGAGGACTCCTCACACTCTTCTCCTGCTCCAGTCTAGGATCCCTCCCACAGGCAGCAGTTCTCCACCAACTGCTCCAGCACAGGTCCCTTCCACAGGGTATAGTCCTTCAGGAACAGACTGCTCCAATGTGGGTCCCCCCTGAGGTCACAAGTTTTGTCAGCAAACCTGCTCCAGCATAGGCTCCTCTCTCCACAGGTCTTTCCAGGAGCCTGCTCCCATGCAGGCTTTGCACAGGGTCACAGCCTCCTACTCTGGGCACCCACCTACTCTGTTGTGGAGACCTCCAAGAGCTGCAGGGGGACAACTTGCCTCACCATGGTCTTCACCACAAGCTACAGAGGAATCTCTGCTCCAGTGCCTGGAGCACCTCCTCCCTCTCTTTCTTCACTGCCCTTGGCGTCTGCAGGGTGGTTTCTCTTAGATATTCTCACTCTTCTCTGTGGATGCAATTACATGAAGCTTTTTTCTCCATTCTTAAATATATTATCCCAGAGGTACTACCACTGTCACTGATGGGCTCAGCTTTGGCCAGCAGTGGCTCTGTCTTGGAGACAGCTGGCATTGGCTCTGCTGGATGTGGGGGAAGCTTCCAGCAGCTCCTCACAGAAGCCACCCCTTTAGCCCTCCTGCTACCAATGCTTTCCCATGTAATCCAAATAATCCTGATAAAAAATTATCCCCAACAAGGGCCAACAGCTGAAAAGTGAAACTGAGCCAGAGTACCTCAGGGAGCCCTCAGACTTTGCAAAGCTGATGCAATACCCAGAGCTTTGCAGTAGCAGGAGGACTCTGACAAATATGATGACACCCTCCCTGGCAGGTATTAAGGATTCAGCCACAATGCTCATTTTGGAAGCGTGGGTACCTTAGTTTGAGTTTGCCAGTGGCTTCTTGGATAAACCAGTGGACAAGATTTTAGAAGATAAGGCTGAAATTTTCTGTGTGCCTTGTTGGGAAATTTATGAAGAGAAAAATCTCTCCTGTAGCTCTTGTCTGCTTCTTTTAGGCCAGGCTACACAAGGAGATGGGGAACTCCTGTAAGTCTCATCCTGGCTGGCCTTTGACAAACTCCCAGCTGCCAGCACCTGCCTTTCTTTCACAATGCTTCCATGGGACTGTGACCAAAAAGACAGCAAAAACTAACTTCTTAAAGCTCCAGCTCTAGAAAAGAGCTCCTGTCTCCCTTCACTAACTCAAGTATGAGGAAGAAATCATGCTAGAAACAGAAGCTACATGTGTCTCTCTGCCATGCCTTTCTTGGCCTTTAGTGTGTTTGTGTAGGTTCCTTTCTTCTCAAAATATCTGGGCTTTTCATTTTACTTTATTTATTTTTTAAATCTGAACAGTTAACATTTTTTCCTAATATCTGAAAAACTCCAAAGGAGCAGAAGATTTACTTATGAAATGTCCCATTAGCTGAAAAGGAATAAATGCAAGATATTTATTCTCCTGTCCATCCACATTCAGAGTGCTGTGTTGGTTGATCAACATCCATGCTTTAGTAGACAAGACTCCTGCTTCTTGGGAATGACACAAAACTGTTTCCTGCACTACAAACCATTCTCCTGTAGAGCTTGAAGAGAAGTGCTGCTTTTTGATAGCAGATTGCTCATCAGGTCCTTTATTAGAGGTATGCAGGCATCATTTAGTGCATTCCCAGGATGGGCATTTCTTCTGCTGCTCTTTGGCAACTGCACTGAGAGCTGTTATGGTTTTGTGTGTATAAATCAACATTTCCCCCTCATTCACTGCATTTCAATGTACTTACCAAATAACTAGTTAGACTGCAGCAATCACATAATCTTAATTTGTACTAGCATACCTAGCTGTCATATTTTACATTTTATGGTTGTTTAACAAGATGCAGTGAACAGAATATTGGTATCTTAGTCCACTTCTGCTGTGTGATTCTGTGTGTGGAATTAGCACACCCCCTGCAATCCCTTGCACATGCTACCTCTTCTATAACATGCTATCCTGTAATACTTCAAGTGCACAAGCCCCAGATGGTACTGAAGCAAAATTGCATTCTGGGGAGACAACTGCAGCACATGTGCATGATATAAGACAGGACAGAGTTGATTGTGAGAGGAAATGACAAAGGTCCTTCAGAAAAAATTTCTAAGGTTGATTTAATTGTTAAGAATAGAGGTCATCAAAGACCTAAAAGGCTACCCATGTGTACATTCATAACCCAATACAAGTTTGAAAAATCAAATATCCTTCATAAGATATATATATATATTTTATATATATTTTTCACAACAGTTCATGACAAAAAAAAGCACATGAGAAACAAAATTCTTAAAAGGTAGAACACCATTTAATTCAAGTTAATAAAATGAAGTAAAATTTTTTAAATTGATACTGCGTGGTCACCACCTTCTGTATCTGAAGAGGGCTTTATAGGTTTGCTATCAATGGTCCCAAAGGAATGCCACAATATTTTGCAGATGAAAAAATACTAACGACTAACCACCAAGACAATAAGAAATTTTGGAGGTAGAGAGATCAAACTATTTTTCCTGTCACATACAACCAAATCTTCATCTCTTGAGCATCACAGTGAGATGGTGTCGACAACACAGACTGCTGTGTTTGGTGTCACAACTCCAGATCAAAAAGCAGCTACTGCTTAGTCAACCAAACCATATGGCTTTGAAACAAATACTTCAAGTTTTCCTTTTTGAGAAGGTTGCTTAGTTAGAAAGAGATGGCTTCTGCCAAGAACAGTGAAGTAGCTATTGCATAGGTGCTGTCATGGTATTTGTCACTAAGTATTTCCTTAGTGAGAGGAGAAAGCTGCTCAAGCAGAGGACTGTGCTTGTGCCACTGGCTGGCTCAGGGCTTGTTTCTTCCGTGCCACAGCCGTGCGCAAGGCCTGGAGAATCATGTTCTCGTTGTTCATGATGTTGTAATTAGTCAACTTCAGGAGCTTGTTGAAATCTTCTGCTTTCAGCGAGACCTCCCTCGTGGAGTATGGAGAGCAGAAACTGGAGAGATCAACCTTGCCCTGTTCCATTTCTGCAGCACTGCGTGACATGCCTGCCAAGGGAAAAAAGGAAGGTGTTTTCATAGGCCCTGCAAATTACTGTACTCTCACAGTCTGTGTCAAGAATAATCTAGAGAGGTCACAGATGCAATTGCTGTGAAGAAAAGTTCAGTGGTATGATCTCTAAAAAAATTTGCTTCTGCAGAAAGTCTGTTGAGATTAATAAAAATGAAGTGTCACTAAACATCATTCCATTGCAACCAGCACCTTCTGCTGGTCACCTCATGGTACATCATTTTATGTGATCACAGGTGCTCAAAACTTACTCTGGGGGTTCATGAGTAAAATACATACTAAAGGTAAAAGGAATAAGGAAATATATAGTACAGGAGGAAGCAGAGTATTAGTAGCCTTGGGAACTACCATAAAAGCAAAGCCTGAATCTCAAATACTGGCCCAAAGGACACAGTGACAGTATTAGTTTATGTACCATTGCTCTGATTTTCCAGCACATAAAACCAACCCATCAAACAGTCCAAACAGAAAGCACAGCTCAAACAGAATGTTCCATAGATCCTAGATCCATATGTTCCCAGATCATAGATCCTAGATCTGACTGCTATAAAACTACATAATCTGAAAAATACACTCTAAAGTAAGCTTTTGGAAGAAGAAATTAATTCTCATTCCTATACTTGAGGAACATTTCTCTTTCACTGACTTGCACCAAGACTCAGACTAAAATCATGCACAAGATTTCACCTGATTTTGCAAACAGTTTGCATCACCCCATTTTGCAATGTATTCACCAGTAGGAACAAGCAAACAAACAAAGGACTTTTGTGTTAGCGTAAGGAAAAAAAAAAAAGAGGGAGTGAGGAAGTTCACTGGATCAATAGAAGTAGGTGGGTACTGTTAACTTACCAGGTGCTACGTATCTCTGGAAAGTGTCATTTACTAATGGAAAGTAAAGCAGCAGAGGGGCTCCTGGGGTGTCTGCCCCATCAAACATGTAGCACTCCTTCAGGTTGTTCTCATCGTCCTTCAGCGCAATGCTGGGAAATGGAATTCCCTGCTGGGAGAAGTATCTGCAAGTCTGCTCCAGGGGCTGGTCACGGCACAACAGCATAAGGAAAGGAAAAGATATCCAAGATCAGGCTGCTGCTAAAGCCCATTAATTCATGCCAAGTTGCACAAAAGGGACTGATACTAGTAAACAGACTTTAATAATGTAAAAACCTGCAGCCCCAGGGATTGTTTTTCTCTTGCCTGAGGAGCTATTTGGAAACAGTCTTACAGAAAAACACCTAATATCAAGCTGCTAAAGAGGGTTTACGTGTGTACCAAGGCACATCTCTAAAATGGGAACACAAGATAGGAACAGAACAAATTCATTCAAAGCATGCTACAGAGCATCATTAATTAAAGGAGAACTAAGTCAGAAAAACATAGATCTAAACAAAACTAAATTTGCAGTTCAAGACAGTAAGATTCACAGTAACATCACCTGCTTATACAGCAGCACAACTTGTGAGTTGACCTCAATTGGCTTCAACATTTTGAGGCCAATTTATCCATTTCTATAACTTTGAATTTTAGAAATAGTATGATATTTTTGACCTCAAAATATAGCAATAAAAGCGTTCATCAGAAAGATCATTTGTAATGACCGACTGTTAAATTATTTAACAAACACTGAAGCATCACCTCAATTTGTTTGAATTAAATGTTTTCAAAAGACTTCAGCGTACAAGAAACAAATGTAATGCAAATCATCACTTACACTCTTTTTCAGCTACAGTACATAGACAAATATTTTTAACACATGAAGTATTGTCCACTTGAAAAAGAGACAGAATCTTAACCAATGAACTTTTGTGTTTTCTGTGGTGCCCTTCAGGGACAGGTTTAAAATTACACAACTACATTTTGAAGTCAAAATCTGTCTTTTTATGTGGTGAATTCCACTTTCACAATCTATACAACCATTTTAAAATCAGATTTATGCAAGCATAATAAATGCATTTGATATCTTGCTTCCAAACCACTATTTAAGGAGAAAATTTGTGTTTCTTAAAAGAGATAAAAAGAAATATGAAGAAATGCTTCACTCACTAGGTTGCTCTTGGAGAGCTAGAAAAACATATATTAAAATTAAAAGACAAATCAAATTTAGGAATTTAAGGAAAATGAAGATTAAATTCAGCATCTGAATCACAAAGTTTTCCCAAAAATTTTTGTCCTGTTAAATCTTACATATGATTGCAACAGGAGTTGCAGCTCAGTCATCATAACTTCACTGTGTCACTCAGAATAAGAATGGAAATTTCAACAGGGGAAAATATTTGTTCTCAAACTTCTTTTGAAATAGCCCCAAGTGCTTCCCCAATGAAATTCAGAGTGTTGGAAACACCGTGTTACTAAATTCCACTAAGTTCCAAGTTTTAAAGACACCTGTCTGAAAGTTGTGGGAAAAAAGGGAAAAGCCATTACTAAACAGAGGCAGTTTTGAGACTTAGAATCATAGAATCATTAAAGTTGGAAAAGACCTTCAAGATTATCAAGTCCAACCATCAACCCAACGCTACCATGACCACTTCTCACCTGGGTCTGTGATCCACCAGTATAGTTTAAGTGTATGATGACGTCCACTTTCCGCTCTGGTCTCATAAGGGGTGGGCAGCTCGTTTCAAAGAAGAAAGCTGCATCCACCAACTCCAAGTGCTCCGAGTTGTCTCTCAGGTCATTAGGAGAGCTGTCTAGCAAAGTGTCTGAAGGAGTAAAAGATTCAGAGCTATTAGGAAACAGCAGAAAGACATCCCTCAAGTTAAAAAGTAAAAGTAAGGTGAGCTTTCTTCCTATCCAAGATTTTCCCTTTGCTTTAGGATAGTGTGCAGCAATCCTAAAGCTTCTTTCAGCCTCTCTACTCATGTTTTGTTGGGGTTTCCAAAGCCATGAACTGCACCAAACTCTAGGCAGGTGTTCTATATGTGCAGAGCCTCATGCCAGTGATTTTCATCCTAGTGAGGACTTTCATTACTGAACATCCCAAAATTCGAATAGTTGTGTTACTTACTGGAAGCAAGAGATGTGAGGAGTTACTTTATTCTTCCTCCTCTCCTCTTAGCAAGCACTAACAACTAACCACAAGAGCCACTCTGCCCTCCTCAGGATGTACAAACACCAGCCACTAAACCCCAGCCCCTGCCCCCTCCTTGCTGACGGCTGAGGCATGTAGGCAGGAGAGCTGTCCACACCTTTCCATTTTGTGAAATGCTCCTGCTGGATGTACTCGTTGTGCATCTGGAAGCCCCTCAGGAAGTTGTGGTACTTGGAGACAGCAGGGCGGTCGGTCAGGATATCCCGTAGAGCCGTGGAGAGGCCACTCGTGGGGGTGAACATGGATGTAGCCATCTCATACGGCTTCTCAGGCAAGTCTGGTTGTTCCTCTAGAGACACATGGCATAAATGGGACACAACTGAGTTATGACCACAACTGAAAGGAGGCTAGGTGCAAATTGGAGAAAAGATCAACAACTCTTCTCTACTAATAGTAATCTTGTAATTAAGAGCTCTCAGCACTGTTATTTTTCCCTAGGGTCTGCTCTGAGTATCAGTTAATTTTGTGACAAAAATATAAGCTTATTTTGTTTTCTAAACACTCATTGACTATATATGACTAAAGGAGCATTTTTTTCTCATAAAATGATGTGATTTTGGTAGATATTAATGCAATTCACTTTTCCAAGAAAACAAAAAAACAGGGGAAAAATAATTACTTATACATTTGAGGGGATTACTTCTTTTCTATTCCATGTAGGTTAAATATGAAAATCAATGCGTATTTTGGAAAGAACAGGAATATTTGAACATTTTAATTTTCAAATGAAATTATTTTACTTTTAAAACAATGGTTTACTCAATTTAGTTCAGGTGTGGCCAGTAGGAATCAACGGAAATTCACAAATTATTTATATAAAATAAAATATAAGAGTTTGAGTTGGCTTGGTTTCATTTTGTTTCTCAAAAACAAAGTCCAACGAAATGTGACCCAAGTCTGTTCACTATGAAATCACTGGCTTTGCTTGAATTTTAACAAGAAGGTGCTAATGAGTATTTTCAAGAAATGACCTTTCAGTGTATAGTTGCCTCTCTCAGCTGGTGTTATAGAGCTCCACTAGATTGACTTCCTTTGAACTCCACTAAATCTTTCAGTTAATTCAGATATTGAGGGAGGTATGTACTGTGCAAGGTAAATAGTATATAGAAAGTAAAGACTCAAGCTTCTGTCTGGTTAACACATAATTGATATGAGGTTTGCCAGAAGTTCTTCTCTCCAAGCTTTTCAAACACAGCACTTTAGGGACCATGTTATATATCCATCCCTGTCTCCTTTCCATTCAGTCTCTCCAATGGTGCCTTTCCTTCTAAGAACAATCTCACTATTTAAGCAAAGCACTGGCTATTCAGTAAAATCAAATAGCTCAGTTTTCTCTGTGCCTCCTATATCCTGAGGCTGAGAGTACCAGGATGACCAAAAAGAAAAAAAAATGTGATCACAGTTACCCTGTATCAGAGAGTCTTGGAGGAGGGAGGCTGTAAATCAAAGAGTACATGAGATTTACCTATTTCAGTCACTTTGTCTTGAGTCCACCTGTGCCAGAAGTCCTCTGAATTGTCAGCTGCATGCCAGGCATCCAAGAGGTTTTTGGAGAAGATACTACTCCACATTCCTAGGAAGTGGGAGAGGTATAAGTATTGATGAGTTAAACACAAGGGAGTTCTCATAAAAACTGCTTTCTGCTCCTTCCACAGCTCTTCTCTAACATTTTTTTTTTTTATTTCTATCCAATTTTTCCATAATTCCAGACACCTATTTCAGTGACAGAGCTGATTCAGAAGTCAAACTTATTTCAGAAAAATTTTCAAAGTATTTTCCCTTCTGCCATGTTTTACCTGGAACATTATTTTCGTTTGAGAAATTTTTACATTATCATTTTCCTATTTTAATTTCCTTTTTCCTTTGATAAAGAAATATTTTCAGTCAGCCCCTTCTCCGATTCTCCTCTCTCTCATACTGTTTATTTCTTCCCAACGTTTCCTTCAGCTTATGTGAAGTCTCATAGATTCCCAACTTCAAAATCTTTTGCTAGCTAATTACGATGCTTCAAAAACATTTATAAAGGTCCATAACAACTTCTTTGTAATTTTGGTTTCATTTTATCTTAGTCCAAATGATAAAACCACCTTTTCTAGCAAGGGGAGCTGAGTGAGTCTCAGGGACATGCTGAATTTCAGCTGACTGACCCAGTACCTCTACTGCCATATGCAGAACCACAGGTTTCTGAGGACTCATTTCCAGAACCATTAGTGTTTGTATTAAAATCCTGTCACTGCCCCAGGCTGGTGAGTCACCTTGCATGAAGCAGATGCGGGACTCGGGGAGCTTCTTCATCAGGCGCCCCATGAAGAACTCGCTGCCAAAATCCTCCGCACGAATGAAGGCGCCGTACTTCAGGAAGCCCACCTCGTAGGGTGTGAACTCCACCCACTCTGCCAACACACACACACCCAAAATGTTATCTCTGCTACAAACAACGATCAACCCACCAGATGTGGAATCAGCCTTTCAGGCATCAGCCCTCACAGGCTTAGCCTGTGCCCTGAGCAAACCCTGCTGACAGCTGCTGCTGAACTTTTTTGAACCACCTATCACACCATCCACGGGCTCGTGAAAGAGCCATGCCAGGGCTCAGGGAAAAATTAAATACTTCCTTTTTTTCCAGCAAATGGAAAGTTTTCTCATAGAAGGTGGTCTAGAACATGGATTGACTTCTGTTACTTTTATTGCCTTTAGCCCACGATGAAAAATATACATTGAGCAAACTTCAAACTCCAGTGAATCACTTTCTTTAAGAATTCATAGTGTTTCTGAGACAGTGTCACAGATCTATGCTGTGTTACTAGTCTGAAGTTAATGTGTGAATATGCACACTCACATGCCAGGAGATCTTACAAAATATTGAACTGTTGGTGTCACTCCTGTTGCTGCCCAGTTACTCTTTAGATCTCTGAACAGGACTTCTCCTGGCTTGGAGTGAGAATTTAAACCAATTCATCATTATTTACAGTGTCCCAAATGCTTTATGTCCCCAGATAAAGCTCTTTCCTGAAACTGAAACTTTACCTCTAAAATCTTTGGTGGCAACTTTGTCCTTGACATTGAGGGCGAGGTAGATGGGCAGGGGGTTCTGACCCTGATTCACTGCCCGACGTTGATCAGAAAGTCTGTGGTGGCATTTCTGGATTTGACACAAAACAAAACAAAAAAACAACTCCAGCCAAACAGTTAACTAATAAATTCCTTATAAAGTCAGAATATGAGACATGGTTTTCCTGAATTTCCTCCTAAATTTACTTTCTTGTGCTTGAATTACAGAGGGCAATAAAATTATGGGAACAGCAATAATTGTTAACATAACCAGCCCTGCTCTATATTCAGTATAGAATGACAGTAATGTGTTGCTTCACATGCTATTCTAACTTTGCATTGTTAAATGTAAGTGAAAAAATAGGGTAGATTTGGGTAGTTTAGCTGTTTTCACCTGCTTCATCTATTAAAAATAAGAGTTCTTCAAGGTAGCATGTTAATGACCCTTCTAAACAAGATTATTAATTTTTTTTAAAATAAAGTGGAAGTTAACATCCACAGAGGAAAAATCCTTGAGCTGTCCAAACTTAACAACTCATCTTACAAATGAAATAAAGATTTTGAGTGTATTTCAGCCAAATTAAATTCTAGCAAATTTTGCTATGTTGCATTGAGGCCAGAAATACAACATGAAATAGGAATTGACATGAGAGTATTTCATTCTATCTGTTTCACCTAGACAAAATGTAAACCATGTTTACAGGATTTTAAAATAAAATAGTTATTAGTTTACAACATAGAAAGTTTTTTTTGGTGTCATTACAACAAAATTAGGAATAGGAGGTCCTGAGAAATCAAATCCAGAGCAGCTGAAGAGCAGCTGCAAAATCACAGCTTCTGTGAGATTTGTGATAAATAACATCTAAGAATAAATAAATAACCATAAATAACATCTAAGAATCTAAAAGAAATTTACAGGTACAATGTTAAATAGCATGCTGGTTACTTCAGAGCTAATCTGAGCATTGCTATGTTACATTCAATCACACTTTAGGTTCCATTGTAGACATAGACTGTATCTCCCAGTTATTAATGTAAATAAGTGGTGTTCTGCCTATATACGAAGTATAGTCTTATTGAGGTGTCTCTTCCTAGCATTCTAACTTCTTGTAATTCTTACAAAGATCAAGTCACCAACTTTATGAAAAGAAAGACGTAAATAAGTGGTGTTCTGCCTATATACCAAGCATAGTCTTATTGGCTGGGTGTCTCTTCCTAGCATTCTAATTTCTTGTAATTCTTCCAAAGATCAAGTCACCAACTTTATGAGAAGAAAGATGTATTGACTTTACCCCATCATTTAACATGGATTCAATCATGAGCCCCCACAGATCAATAAAAGATGTTTTATGTCCTGCTTGGGTCCTCTGGCTCAGCTCTCTGTAATAATTCCTCAGACTTCTCAAGCAAAAAGCTCCCATCTTGCACTTGGCAGCTTGCTTCCGAGCTTCGATAATTATTTCTCCAAGATCCTTGCGTGACCAATCAGCATCTTCATAGAGCTTTGTCATTGTCCTGCAAGGCAGGAAATAGCACTTGGTTTTTGTTTTGTTTTGTTTTGTTTTTATCTTTAAATTACTCTTTTTGAGCTTACTTTGAGCAGAAACTCAAATCTAAAGGCAATCAATCAAAAACCACTTGATCTGGGATCGCACACAAGCAGCTCCACCACTTGTCTATGCTATTTCTGAGCAACAGTAAATAACCATAAAGGATCATTTTCATAGGATTAAGGATGCTTCCACTTCCAGTGCAGTCTCATGTTTTGGTTAGGGATAGGTTACTTTGGTGACACCAAATGTATGATGCACAACAAGCCTTTCATGGGTGACCCTGGCTTTCACAGACCAAAAATGGAAGCAACCATTAAAACCCTAGACAAAAAACCCTAGACAAAGCATGGGGTTTTCTTAATACAACTTCCAAACAATAGTATGCAAATGACTCCTCACCATGTCGTGCCAGATGAGCCACTGATATATGAAACACAATCCAAAACACGCAACTTTTGAAGACCCAAAATGCTGCCATACATGGCAGTGAGTGCTCTTATCCCACACCCTGCTGTGGTCACAGCCACTATAGGCACCTGTTCAACACAAAAAAGGGCAGAAAGCTCAAGTGGAAAAGTGGCATGAAGACACATCCATGTCAAAAGACAACAGACATGCACAAGTAACATGCAGACACTAGTAAAATAAAACACATAGATGACAGATAAAGCAACATTACTCTATGAGTTATAAAGTTGCTGGATGTCTCCATGGGATATACAAAATGATCTTGGTACTTTGGGGAAGATTTTTGACAAACCGAGACCAAACTCATTGATTTGAAGC